ATCTGGAGCAAATAAAGAGTAGAGGTTTAAAAATGTTTAACCTGTTCTTGACCACACTATAGCCAAAAGACGGCTACAGCGTGGTCACCCAGTTCTGGGAGGGCGTCTATAGACATCCTCGCCTCCCTTGTGCCCCCTGGGGTGCTCATCCAGCGTGCTCTGTGACTGCTGTGTCCATCGGACACAGCTGATCACACTATAAATAGACCTGCTAGTTATCGGCAGTGCTTTCCTCGCAACTGTCTCAGTGTGAGGAGAGGAGAGCTAGTAACCGGCGATCGTGACAGGGGATGTTTACACTGATAATCAGGGCACTGATCATCAGTGCCCTGATTATAAGTGCAGCCCAATCAGTGCTGCCTGTCAGCACTCATCAGTGCCCTGATTATAAGTGCCGGCTAATCAGTGACCATCAGTGCAGCCCTATCAGTGCCCTGATTATAAGTGCAGCCCAATCAGTGACCATCAGTGCAGCCTCTCAGTGCCTCCTCATCAGCACTGCCTATCGTGCAGGCTCATCAGTGCAGCCTATCAGTGTTAATCAGTGCAGCCTCATCAGCACACAGCAGTGAAAGAGAAAAATTATTTATTTGCTAAATGTTATAACAGAGCTAAGAAAACTTTTTTTTTCCCAAATGTTCGGTCTTTTTTCATTTGTTTAGCTTAAAAAAAAAAAATTAAATGAATAAAAAAACCCCAGTAGTGATCAAATACCACCAAAAAAAAAAAAAAAATTCATGTGTACAGTGTTGTATGACTGTGCAATTGTCATTCAAATTGCGACAGCACTGAAAGCTGAAAATTGGCCTGGGCCCGGTATTGAAGTGGTTGAAAAGGGTCTTCAGTACCCCACCCAAAAAAAAGAAAACAAATACTGTAGCTGCTGACATTTAGTAAAGGGACACTTACCTGTGCAGGGATTCAGCACTGTCCTCACGGAGGCCAGTTCCTAACTGGTCTTCAGGTCCCCGGTGCCACCATGCTAACTGTGGCAAGCTGGCTGTGACTCCAGATGGCTTCACAACTGGCTCCTTACTGTGCATGATGAGCCACACTGTGCCCTGTGGGTGGTCTCGCAACCTCCTGGGACCTGTGGCATGTCCCAAGAAGTTGCAGGCAGGGAGGGAGGCAAACTTACTTGGTGATCCAGAAGTGGGAGAGGCAAAACCAGGTGGGAGAGTGCAATGAGGCGGAAAAGCAAAGGAGTGAAGTTCCAAAATAAGTCAGGCCTATTAACAGCCAAAACACTTTTGATGTCCAAACTTGGGTCCTAAACCGCTTTGAAATCTTTCTGTTTTACACAATTTGCACATCTGAACTGCATGTACTATATTTGTGAATTTTCTGAATATTTAACATATATTTATCACCTGTGATAGCTTCTATAGCGGTTTCCTCCTTTTTGATCTTAATATGTTCCTCCTCCTCAAGCTTGACGCTTTCCTGATTACCTCGGACGTCTTCATGGTCTGGGAATAAAGATACCGGGGAGAGAATTAAAGAGTGGCACAGGCAAAAATCCTGCACCACATTTCCCCACTTAACATCTGTACCCTCCCTTCCTCGGAGATGAATGAAGCCAGGGCCGAAAGGATTGTTACTTCCTCTTCCGGTCTGATGTAAACAAGCCATTACCAGCTTTGTAAAGCATCTGATCGAACCAAGCTCAGTTTGACCAGATGCTTTTTAAGGACAGAGGAGAGCTCTTGGGTCTAATAGACCCCAGTAAAGAGGTGCTCCTCTGGGAGAATCTGGGATGGAATAGAAAAAGACCTGGGGGTCCTTGTAGACCAAATTGAGTGCAAGCTACTCATTAGAAGGTGTTCCTCTCGGGTAAATTGGGAATGGAAAAAGATCTGGGGGTCCTTGTAGACCAATGAGTGCAAGCTACTCGTTAGGAGGTGTTCCTCTGGGGGAATCAGGACTGGGGGTCTTTGTAGACCAATGAGTGCAAGCTACTCATTAGGAGGTGTTCCTCTGGGAGAATTGGGGATGGAATGGAAAAAGATCTGGAGGTCCTTGTAGACCAATTTGAGTGCAAGCTACTCTATAGGAGGTGTTCCTCTGGGAGAATTGGGATTGGAAAAAGATCTGGGGGTCTCAGTAAAGAGGACCTGCTACAACGCATGATAATACAATGGATGTTGTTTATCCTTTCTGACAGCAATAGTTACTTAAAAAAAAAAAAAATATATATATATATATATATATATATATCATTCAAAAAAAAAAATCTTAAGTATCCCTGTCCCCCTCGTCCTCATGCACAAAGGCGAATGCATACATAGGTCCCAAGCGCATACGTAAATCGTAATCACACCACACATGCGAATGTCAGAGTGAGAGCAATAATTCTAGCCCTAGACCTCCTCTGTATCTCTAAACTGATAACCTGTAAAGGCTTTCAAATCGTTGCCTATGGAGATTTTTTAGGCACCGCAGTTTGTCACCATTCCTCAAGTGTGGACAATTTTAAAGCATGACATAGTACGTATTTATATATTTTAACAAGAATTGAGTATTATATTTGCGTTTATGTGTCCTAAAATTCATTTACCACTTAAGGACCGCCCTACAGCAGATATACTGCTACAGGACGGCACCTGTGTGCAGAATCATGTATATATACACATGTCATTTTGCATCTCCAGGTAGGGGGCGCACGCAAGCCAAGCCACCATTCGTGGCTGCGGATGTCAGTTGCCGGGTCCCGGACGGTAATTATCTGCTGGCGCCCAGTGTTACCAGCGATCATGGACGGGGAGGAAATTGTTTTGTTTACAAAAAAAAAAGAAAAAAATCTTGCTCCCTGTCAGCTCGAGCACACTGCACAGCCCAGCCATCCCGATCAGTGTGCTTAACAGTGAAGCACCCCCCCCCCCTAGTGAAACACTCAGAACACAGTTAACCCATTGATCGCCGCTCACATTAACGCCTTCCTGCCCAGTGCCATTAGTACAGTGTCAGTGCTTTTTTTTTTGCGTTGATCACTGTATTGGTGTCACTGGCGTGTCAGTGACACCAAGTTAGTTCCCCCCCAGTGTCAGAATGTCCGCTGAAGTCCCGCTAAAAGTCGCTGTTTGCCACCATTAGTAGTAGAAAAAAAAAATCTCAGTATCTATACCGCCATTTGTAAACGCTTCAACTTTCATGTAAACCAATTAATTTACACGTATTGGATTTTTTTTTTAGCAAAGACACGGAGCAGAATACATTTTGGCCTAAATTTATGACAAAATTAGATTTTTTCTAAATTTTTCACTGGACATGTTTAATTGCAAAAAGTCAAAAATATTGTTTTTTTTCTCAAAATTGTCAGTCTTTTTTTGCTTATAGCACAAAAACGGCTCATGCGCATATTCTTTTTGGAAAAACGATCGTACAATTTGACCATAATTGAGTCGAAATCGGTCGTTTTTCACGAATTTTCCAACATCCCCGATCACTGAAAAGGGGAGGAACCAAGAAAATCAACCCGTTCCATTGACCCACTAACAGAGCGAAAATTGGCTGATTATTCTTAGGTCTGATTTTCGGACAAAAAAAAAAAAAAAAAAACGGTCAAATTTCGACCCATGTATGGCCGGCCTTTGTGTCAGAATGCCCGCTGTACTATCACAGTCCTGCTATAAGTCACTGATTGCCGCCATTACTAGGATAAAAACAAAAATTCCAGTATCTATACCATTGTTTATGAACGCTGTTATTTTCATGCAAAACAATTAATATACACTTATTGGGGTTTTTTTTTACCCAAGACACGTAGCAGAACACATTTTGGCCTACATTTATGAAGAAATGTAATTTATTTTTTTCTATTGGATATGTTTTAGAAAAAAAAAAAAAAAAAAATATATATATATATATATATATATATATATATATATATATATATATATATATATATATTTAATAACGTAAAAAAAAAAAACACACACGCACTGAACAGACTAAGAAGCACTGACACTGTACTAATGGCACTGGGCAGGAAGGGATTAATATCTGGGGCGATTGTTGCACTGTGTAGTGTTTTACTAGGGGACGTGCTGCTTTCTATCTCTCTGCAAAGCCCAGTGCCACTGACAGGAGAGAGATCTGTGTTTACAGTCACAGATCTCTCCCGTCAGCTGCTCCGCTGATCATAGAGTCCTGGCCATGAATCGCTGGCCGGGACCCGGTAATTGACATCTTCGGGAGCCAATGACAGCTTCGGTAGCGGGGCGGTCAGCAAATGGTTAATACGCTACAGGTCTTTGCTTCCTTGGGGTTTACCGCAATTTAACCTTACTAGACGCAAAGCAAAACAGTTCTATAATTTTCTAGCAAAAAACAAAAAAGCTGATTTTTATATGTATGTGAGAAGTGTCAGAACTGGCCTAGGGGACAAGTGGTTAACGTGCGCAATATAATGGCACAGGAAGCTTAGTTAATTCCCTTGACTATCCCCCCATTACTGTCTACTGACAGAGGAGGGGGGAGAAGAAGAGATTGTTGTAGTGACTGAACAAGGAGGATCTAGGACTCTTCTCTGGATTTAGTGTTTATTACTCACCTGGGCTGATCTCTGGAGGGATTTCCTCCTCCTCCTTACAGGGCTCATCGCCCCTCACATACGGCTCCTCTGCTTCCTCCTTCACTTCCTTCACTTCAACAACAATCAGTCCTTCATCCTGTGTAAGACACCATACAGACTATTTTTATATGGTGAAGGCATCATAGTTATGACTGAGATTCTGGGTACCATCTAACTTTGAGTTCCCAGGGGGAAGAGTGTTATTATTATTATTATTACCTGAGGCTCCTGAGGGATCTCCTGATGTTCCTGTGTGGAGTCCCAGGAATACAGAGGATGGGGACATCTCTCTGGTGGGTTCCCATGACTGGATCCATCTGTAGGAAACACACACACTGACTGAATACATTGTTTCTATGTCTTTATATCAGAGGATGTGTGTATCTAGGTGGATCCTCAGTACTATGAAATGAAAATCTCTTCTTACCCGGTGATGTGAGGGGTGGCCGGTTCTCCATCATGACATCCTTCTACAGTTCCTCCGTATTTTAAATTTAACGGGGTTTTTAAGTATTACACTGCAATAAATCAATAAAAAATTCAAGGTAACTAAGTCTGTTAGATTAGTTTTGTGAATACAAGATAATAAAGTGACATGAATATCCTTATTCTCCAAAAATAATCCAAACACATCCACTACTTAATGGCCTGTTTGTGCTGAAGACCACGCTGCACTGACTGGATCAGTCACTGGTTGTAGGTGGGTGGTTGTGTGGGAGGGTAGGGAGAGTTCCCTCCAGTCGGTTGTGCCCAATGGTGGATACTGGCTGTAAACCCTCTTAGGGTTTGGGCTGCTGTCTTTCTGATACGGCCTTCAGGTCGTTTCCATACGTAGTCTTGGAAGAATAGGAAGGAAGGAGCACCTGTTGTCCAAAAGAATGCCATTTTGATGGTAGATTAACCACTTCCCGTCCAGTCCATGTACATAAACGGCTGGACGGGAGCAGTGTAGGAGTGGGTGGCTGTTTATGAATGTCCTCCAGCATTCCCTGCCTGTGTGTGCTCCCTGCGAGTGTGCGGCACCGCGAACTGGTGCCCACTGTGTCCAGAGGACACAGCGGAACACCAATCGCTGTACGGGACCTCTGTGTGGTCCCGATCATGTGATCACTGATTGGCCAATCAGTGATCACATGAATAATAGTAAGCAAGATGTCACTTCTGACATCATTGCTTACTACTAGTGAAATCTGTGAATGATCACAGAGATCACATGGTACAGGGCTATTACAACAGCCATGTACCATGTGACAAGCTCTGACCAATCACAGCTCACACAGTATTTCTCAATGGCTGCAAGAATCCAGCCAGAGAGAAGGAGAAATGATTGCTTTTACAGCCTTTATGGGTGTAAAAGCAATCAGTGTAATAAAAAAAATTTAAAAATCTTCATCACCCCCAAGTAGTACAGTGCACGGCTAGGGTGACAGTATGTTAAAAAAAATTAAATAAATAAAAATATATATATATATAAAAAAAAAAAAAAAAAAAAAAAAAAAAGTAAAAAAAATGTTTTTGAAAAATTATAATTTTTGGTTATAAAATAATTTGGGTTATTTTTTTTCACTAAAAAGATAGCGGAATACATTTTGGCCAAGATTTATGAAGGAAGATTATTTATTTGCAAACTTTTAGAAGAAAAACACTTTCAAAATGTTTGGACTTTTTCATTTATATAGCCCAAAAAAATAAAAATCCCAGTGGTGAATAAATACCACCAAAATAAAGTTTTATCTGTATCAAAAAAAGTAATGCTAAAAAATTCATAGGGGTACAGTGTTGCATGACCGCGCAATTGTCATTCAAAGTGTGATAGTGCTGAAAGCTGAAAATTGGCCTGGACTGGAGGGGGGGGGGGGCTGGAGTATCCAGACTTGAAGTGGTTAATAACACACAGGTTTTCTGGCTGATTGAGGTGGTAATTAAACTCACTTGGTGCCTGATCTGCATTAACGTAGCCTCAGAACCCGTGTATATAACCTGAGTTCAGTTTTAAGGCGATGAGGTTGCAATCCTAGGGGGGAACCCCCCTTCCACCTCCCGTAAAAATCATCCAGCAGCTGCTTAGCCCCTTGGATTACTTTTACATTAAAGAGAATCGCAGGGGCTGAAAAAAACAATACCGGGATCATGGTTGTAGCCTCGATTCCAGTATAACTGCTTCCCTACGAGGATGTATATGTACGTACAGCAGTAAGGAAGCGCCCAAATAGAGAAGGTGGGGGACACCAAGACTAGAGCCATGCAGAGAGCTCATAAATTAAGTCCCACCCCCAAAATAAAATTCTGGACTTGACACTAAAAGGTATAGCCTGAAAAAAAAAAAAAAAAAAAAAAAAAAAACACACCACCCAGTGTGATGTATATAGGGCTGAATGTCCCAACCCCAGCTGAGCCCCCCATCCAATGTTCTCCCCATCAGAGCACTGTGTAGTCCAAACTAGCCGCTGAATGGAGGAGTGGGGGAAGGGAGAGCGAACAAAAGGCAAGTATATGTGCCCATGGAGGTCTGCATAAAAATATCATAGACTTTTCTACCTCGACACATGCAAAAGCATATATATTCCTCTACAATAGGTGTAGTTCTACAGCACCCTGACCTGGACTACACATCAGAGGATGTGTGGAGGTGACATGATTCCCCCCCCCCCCATCCAGTCCACACACAGTGCTGGGACCCCCTTCTCTCATAATAAGAAGACATTATTACCTTCTTCTGACTGGGCTCACATTCTCCAGCCTGGAACAGATTGTCAGTGTTTAGAAACAAAGCATTGTTTTTATAGCTCCAACTTGAGCTACAAGAAAATGGCCGCTGAGCACAAACGTCACCATGGTGACCGGAGTCGTCCAGCCAGAAGTGCAATAGAGAACGTTTCTAGCAATGAGCGCCACCTACTGGAAAGAGACCTGTGTAGCCGGCTGAATTTACGTCAGAACAGCGGAGCGCATATTGTAGTACAGCCTGAATTTTTTTTATTGTTATTAATATTATTAATAATGATAATAATAATAATAATAAAATTAGAAATAAAAAAACATAATATACAAATAATAAGAAGACATTTTACCTCATATTCTCTGGGTACACTCTCTCCGGCCATAAACATAAAGCCTATTCAAGCTTCAGCTTCCGTTAGGCTACAACAACATGGCCGCCAACGCTCTGCATTGAGGACATCCTCAAGAACCATGAAAAATTCATGATGTAATGACATTATGATGAATTTTTTGAGATGTAAGCAAGAGAATTGCTTTCTAAAAAATTTTTAATGAAGAATAAGGGTTATGAGATGACAGGACAGTTTTTTGTTTTTTTTTTTACCATTTTGCGGTCTGCTCACTGAGCCAAAACCGCCGCTAGAGGGTAACTAGTGGAAAGAGCTTTCCACAGCGACTTCCCGGTTACCATAGTGAACCCCACCAACACCACCAAGAAGCGTGATTGGACAACCTTCCGGAAGCCCAAAACAGCGATAAGGCAACCACTAGAAGGCGGTCGTTTTCAAATGTAACAGCAAGAAGTCCCAGAGCAGGAATGAGCGGCGGCCATTTTGTTGTAGCCCGGAAGTAGTGTTAGGAGGCTCATTTTTTTCAATAAGAATCCTCCTGGTGGGGGTGTGAGTGTGGAGAGTGTGAGCCCAGGGAGGAGGAGGTAATATTGTCTTCTTATTATGAGAGAAGGGGGTCCCAGCACTGTGTGTGGACTGGATGGGGGGATCATGTCACCTCTACACATCCTCATCTTCCTGCAACTCCTCTGATGAGTAGGACGTTAGGGGAATCTGCTGGGCAGGCAGGTCAGCTCCCCCTGTTTTTTTAGCAGGTACCTGGGTTTTTACTCATCACTCCCATCATGCATTGCTCTTTGCCAAATTTTGGGAGCCGTTATACTCCTGTCTTGGCCATAGTAGCTGGGAACCATAGCAATCTAAAACAAAGCAAGCCAAGGATGATACGTTTGGGAGTCTTCCATGGACAAGTCTAGCAGATATTAATATCGCTTTTCTAAGCAGTCGTGTTTTAGACCGGCCGCCAAAGGTTTAGAATCAGCCTGTGAGTCTGGCGCCTGCTCTGTGATCACTATAATTCTCCATCCTCCGCTCTCATCCAATATTCCTCTTATCACCTCCTGCAGAAGGGGAGTTGTGAGCCACCAGAACGCGTTGGCTTTTACCCATTGACCTCAGTTGGGGTTTGGGCTCAGAAACCAGTAGCTATAGCAGCGGAAAGGCTCACACAGAAACCAGCAAGTGATGTGGGCCCATCTAAGGTGTGGGCTCCCAAGCACCAGCCAGTCCTCACCAGAGCTCCTGAAGGTGGAGATGGATTTTGCTGTGTGCAAGCACCAGGCTAAGGCCCTCAGGATCGCCCCACCAGGAGGTAAGCAAACTAGAGTGTTGCAGCAGGCAGTGACCAAGCAGAAGTGCAGTTGGTAAACCATCCAAGGGTTGGTAGCAAGTGGTTGCAGGTTTGGATCAAGCAGAAGCGTAGTCAGTAACCCATCCAAGGGTAGGTAACAAGTGATTGTAGGTTGGGATCAAGCAGAAGCGTAGTCAGTAAACCATCCAAGGGTCGGTAGCAAGTGGTATCAGGTTGGGATCAAGCAGAAGCGTAGTCAGTAAACCATCCAAGGGTTGGTAGCAAGTGGTTGCAGGTTGGGATCAAGCAGAAGCGTAGTCAGTAAACCATCCAAGCGTCGGTAGCAAGTGGTTGCAGGTTGGGATCAAGAAGAAGCGTAGTCAGTAAACCATCCAAGCGTCGGTAGCAAGTGGTTGCAGGTTGGGATCAAGAGGAAGCGTAGTCAGTAAAACCATCCAAGGATGGAAAACAAGTGGTTGCAGGTTGGAATCAAGCAGAAGAGTAGTCAGTAAACCATCCAAGGGTATTTAACAAGTGGTTGCAGGTTGGAATCAAGCAGAAGAGTAGTCAGTAAACCATCCAAGGGTATTTAACAAGTGGTTGCAGGTTGGGACAAAGCAGAAGCGTAGTCAGTAAACCATCCAAGGGTCGGTAGCAAGTGGTTGCAGGTTGGGAACAAGCAGAAGTGTAGTCGAGGAACTAGCCAAAGGTCAGTAATGAGTGGTAGAGGAGATACAGACGGCAACAGGAGCATAAGGAGCAAGATATTGGCAGAAGAAGAGCACGATAATCTGGCAAGCGGGAAGTGCAGAGGCATGGCTTAGGAAATTCATAGGAGGAGCAAAGGGTTAAAGGTTCACCAGAAACAAATTATAATGCAGGGTTGTTCAAGGGATCAGGCAGGGAGCTGTCCAGCATTTCAGGTGGCTCAGCAAGAAGAGCTACTGTAGACACAGCAGAGGTAGCAGGTTGAGATCCTGTCCCTGACCAAATCTATGGACTTGTTATAAAATGTGTGTGGCACTCTTATCCTTTTTTGATGGGGGACCCATAGTAGTACTGTGTAGGATACAGCGCTGCCTCTTAAGACTGTAGATATCAGGT